TTTTTTTCTAGATTTTAATTTTTTTCTAATTTTTTTTTTAATTCTTCCTTACTCTGTTTAAAACTAATACACCTCTGGCTAATGTTCATTGTTTTGCTTATGCTAAATACCAAATTTTTTCAAAAAGATTGGTTAAGTAACGAAGAGGATTATTTATGATGAATGGAAGATGAAAATAATTCTATAATTAAAGATGTTTCAGAAATCATAAGCAAAGCTGTGGCTTATTTTTAACCTGATTTCACAGGCACTCAGAATGCCTTCCAAGCACCTTTCAATTTCTCTTAATTCCTTTCAGCACCGTTACATCATTTGTGGCTAAACATGGAAATTTCATAGTCTCCCCAGGTATTCATATCGGAGCCTCCACCAGCCCATGGTGTTAAAATCCATTGCTTTTTAGTAGATACGTATTTTCTCTGCATCCGGTTCGAAGATCAAAAGAGAAACACAATACAACAGAAGCACAAAATGTAGCTGATCTGAAATTGAGGTGGTCTGAAATTTAGCTAACCTGGTCATGTTTTGAGGAACTGTGCAGATGAAGCCTTAGAAGCCTTCGCCAAGCTTAGTGTTTTTTGGATGAGCAAGTTACCTTGTGTGGAATTTCAGACCTTCGTGTTCTTGCCTTTGCTCTCGTCTTGCCTTAGAAATCTCCCCCCTGGAAACCGGATGGAAAGGTCACCTCCTCCATGAGGCTTTCCTGGTTGCCCAGCCAGTGCTAAACTTGCTGCATCTGACAACTTCCCAGCCTGACAACTTCTCGCTGCGGGCTTCTGCAGCCTCTGCGTAGCTTGGCTTTATAATTCTGTCTCCTCCAGCGTGGTGCTCATCTCTGTCTTCCACTGTCCCTTGCATGATGCCTGGCTCGGGGTAGTAGCAAAAAGAAAAAAAAAATGTGTATTGACTGTCCAACTTGTGATCTTAATAGAACATGAACCTTCAAAATTTTGAGTGCTCTTCCTCAAGAAGAGATCTTGACTAACATACAAGGAAAACTGACTTTTTTGCTGCTATTTCTATCCTGAATAAAACTATGAAGCAACTGCCTTTGCTACTTGTAGAAATGTATTACTGTACTTCATAGCTGTGTAAATATTAACTCTCCAGGGCCAGACTGCAGATGTGATATGCAAACAACTTTCATCTTGCTTTGACAGAACAATAGATAATTCAGGCGAAATCAGGTTAGGTCAATTTGAATTAGTGAATACTTTATAGACGTGAAAAATAAAAGATTTCTTCATAGAAATTCTGATGTACTTACTTTGAAAACTAGATAAAATGATCATCATCGTGGATATACAAGAGATTTTATGAGACTTTATTCTCTTTAACAAATCTTTACACTACAGGACAGTTTTTCTCAAGTGTGAGTAATGTGCAAACCCCATTTAAAAGGGAAAACAAAATTCTCATGAACCCAGGAGAACTTCACACTCTATTATAAGCAACTCTGTATTAAACATTAAATGCTGTCCCTGTAATGATCAGTTGGGGTCAGTGTACCTGTCAACTCGAGTGCAGACAAGGACACTGAACTCTCAGGGCAATCCTGAGTCATAAGATGGTCACCCAAGAGATCCCAAGTGGGCTTTCCCAGAGCACCACCCCATACTGGGCACTCCAGCAGCTCCAAATCCGTGGCTGTTCCAGTCTACCAGCCCAGACATGGAATGCAGCTCCAGTTAGCTGAGTTCTACAAAAGTCTGGACACACTGAGTGTTTGGGGATGTACAGAGTTAAAATTGCACAGCTAAATCCCATACCTACCCATCTCCAACTACTTTGCCACCTGGGATTACTCTTTGATGAGCGAGTTACTTGTGTAGGATTTCATACCTCTGTGGTTTCAGCTTTGCAGTCTTTTTATCTTAGAAATCCTTTTCCTCCTGGAAACCTGGCCACCCTTCCCTAGAGGCTCCATCCACCTGCCCAGTTATTAAATCTTCCTCTTCCCTTTCTTTTCTTCCTTTCTCTCCAAGCCCCCAAATTCATAGAAATTTAGTTCTCTCTTTGTCATTCTCTAACTTAACAAACGTGCCCTAGAGCCTACTGGCAACAGCCGTAGGACACTTTGAAAAGCCACCTTTCCTTAAATAGCAACATAACCAACAGAAGCGTCACGACGTCACTTTCCTCTTATTTGGACTAGGCTGCACTCCGGGACCAGGCACTGGAATGAGGCAATATGAGGATTCAGGTATGTTCT